ATCGGTTAGGTGTTTATATGTTTTTATAACATTTTATATTGTACGCTCCGCAGTCTTTGTTTGTCTTTTATTTTAATTATCAGGCATTTGCTAACATGTTCAGTCATACTGCCGTAATGGCGATCTGTGTGAAGGCTGTAAAGCCACGCCCTAGCCGATAACACAAGTATTTATTCTCCTATTTATTAGTATTTTGTATCCTCTAAAATCATATTGAGTAAGTTATAATAACAAACGTAATCTTCTGTAGGTAAGTGCCGTTTTTTGCAGCGTTATATGTAAAAGCTTTTGTGATTGTAGTCTGTAAGAACGATCAGATATCATCGATCTGTAAGCTAAGCTACGCTACGCTAATGAGACATGCCGTTTTTTGCAGCGTTATATGTAAAAGCTTTTGTGTGTTTAATTGTTTGCGCACATGAATATAAATGGGGGTGTGTGAGGATACAACACTGTGTGTATGTATGCGAGGGGGGGACACACACCACGAGTAAAACAGAACTAAAGCCCCGTTGGTCTGTTGTTGTTGACGAGGCCTTACCTAGCAACAGGCTAATTAGTGGCTAGCACAAATTACAGTCAGTCTACTGAGCTCAGCCCCTCTCCAACATATCATCTGTATTGAGTCAGAAACACAGCATGCACGTTACGGTTCAAAACTAACTCAGATTGGAAAAGGCTAAGCAAAGAGCTTTGCTAAATAGAGAGTTTTAAGCCCCCATCTTTTGGGATTTCAGACTATATTTATCCAAATAGTATTTTCTCATCCTGAATACTAAATTGAGATGATTTTGTTCTAACTATGTTTTCTTCTTTACAGGCCAGCACCTCACATACTTACTAATTAGTGACAATTTGTACATCCTTTGCTATTATTTACATTTTTTTGTATCATGGCGGAAATGAAAGACTGTACCTGGCAGCCCTGCACTACAATGAAAACGCTGAGCGTGCACAAGCCAACATCCACTGGAAACCCTCTGTATAAACTGCAGTTCCCAAAGGCCAGGAAGGGAGAATGCAGAGCAAAACCAGTAAAGACTGACCCCACATTCCGTAAGTGTTTAAAATATTTATTATACAACTATTTACAAATATAAAATTAGAAAGAACTTTCAGTTTTTTACATGCATATACTAATCTAAACCACATTTTTTGTTGTGCTTTTTTTTTAACATTGCACAGGCTACGTGGCCAACTTGATGGACCTCATCTTCGACCAAGTCTTTGTGGACCCTGCACCATTATGAGCGACCTGACAGGGACGAGGTCATCGCCGGGTATGCTACACGGTTCAATTTGGCTGCTGTCTGAACCCAACATCGACATTTTGCGGATCAGGAAACTCCTGCCTCCTTGAGGACAACGCAGGCCGGAATCACCACTCTGATCCTGCGTCCAAGGAAGCCCCAGCACCAGCTCACAAAGCTTCTGTAGGCTAGATACCTGTGACGCCTGAAATCATTAAAAAATATATTTAGTGTAATTTATACAAAATACAAGTACATTTAATTTTTTTTTATGGGTTCAAAGAACCGTTGATTTTGACAATAAAGTTCCGAGTTGATATCAAATGTGTCGTGATTATTCATGTTTGGATGGGTAAAGAATATTCTGATTTCAAAAGCATAAGGTTGTGTGTGGACTTTTTTTGTCGTACACATGGGTGTGTTATGCCATTGCTGTGTAATAATATATATATATATATATAATAGTACATGTACAATGAAAGATTGCATAAAGCCATATACACCAGTATTTATTTCCATGAACAATATTAGCATTCGTTTTACAATTTCAGTCAAAAGAAACAAACCACTCACTGCTCTATTTGCCTCAACTGTAGTCCACCATGTTCAGCTCTGTAAATATTCAATGCATTCTGCAGGGAGAACACATTCAGGCACACAGGCTCCAATCCAGGATGGTCCACCATACAGGTTACAGAGTCCTCAAGTTCCTGCATCCATCTTGACACCTAGTGTGATAAACATATTGAATGACATGTTAAAAATGTATTCTCTAAACAGACAACTTAGTGAAGCTATCAAAAATGTTACCTGTGGTATCTCCATGCAGCACATTCTCCGGTTCAGAAGGCATCGTGGCGCAATTTGCACATGTACACCTGTAGAAAGAAGTCAATAACTGAGCTTTTAAAAACACATGAAACTACACACACTGCTGACAACTGAGGTGTTGTTGGAGTTATACTTTTTATCACCCTAAGTTATTGAACTTTCCAACGGTTGTTGCACGATGTTGGAAGAAAAGGGCTGTAAACTATTAATAAACGCAATGAGGCCATTGTATATATGCTGAAAATATGAATGTCTCCCTTTATAAATATATATATGTATCGCTGTTTTTGCGTTACAAGCTCTAAGTTATAAACTGTACACATAGCATTCTTGCTAATTAGCCAAAATATGAACGGTATAAGTAGCAATCATCGTAACAGAGTAAAATAAATAGGAACAACAGCTTGTCAACTTACCATTCAGAAACGTCCTGCTGCAACCGAGATCTTTGCACCTCCACCAAAACCTCCGCTGCTTCAGGGTCAGTCTCTGGATCAAATTGATAATACGCTTGAACACATGCATTGCTCTGAGATGACATGTTTATTCCACACTCGTAATCACAGCAAGCATGTTAACGTGACTCTCACCGACTCATGCCCCGCTCTTCTGCAGGGGGGCGTGGTCAGCTGCTGCTCAGAATTTTCAAAGACAGGCTTGGAAAAGAGCGAAAATGAGCGAAACGAGGCATGGCTAAAAATGATCCGTTTGGTATTTTGAAAAATAAAATGTATAAATATACCTTATATAGGTATGGTCATACACTATATCATTTAAATATAGCATGATAGGTCTCCTTTAACTAACCCTAACAAACGCGATCTCGCTAAACGGTCCTACGGCGCTGGTCATCAACTCGGTAAATCAAGCCAGGGTTTCTCTCTCCAGCTGAGAACGCGTTCACGTGAAAGGGGCGGGGTTAGCTACATTTGACCAATCACAAACAGGGACAAGTGTACTGACAGCGCAACATCATACTTCATTAATGAAAAGTAAACTAATATTAGACAAATATGAAATTTAAACATCCATGATGACTTAAACATATAATCCAGGATACAAGCCACATAGTTGCACCTGCAAGGAGAATACAGAACAACTCGTTAAAAAATAAACTACCGAGTGTTTGAAAGCGTACAACAGTTTTATGATACTGCCCCATCTAAAACACGAGGGGGTCTGACTTTATTACATTTGAGTTGAGTGTTTCGTCAACTTAATGTGTTGCTTAAAATAATACGTCTGCATACAGTATATGTGACAATGTAACTAAGTGTTGCACGGCCAGATACGGCTCGAGAAGCTGACTCAGATAAGGAAATATTGTGATATCGATGATCTGATTGATGATGTGATGTCAGTGTGATATGAATGATAAGTGCGACACGTCGGCGTCTTCTCTGCATACGGCAGTTTAAACTGCATTTCCTTTTTCCTGTAATATGACTTGATAGATTTAAACTCCGCACACTGAGCTCTGATCGGTCAGCAGATGGTGCTTTCACTGAGTTGATCTCTTTTCTATAGACGCCGGAGGCGGGCAGCGTAAGATGAAAAAAAAAGTTATTTAGCCTTCCCAAACCTGAGCCTCACGCGCCGCCTATGTGTAGGCCTACTTTGCATACAAAGGCCATTCAAGCTAGAGTTCTTCTGGAAATGTTCACATCAGGCACCTTCAAGTTAAACAATACTAAACAATTAACACAGTAGGCCTAAATTATGTGGATTAAACCACATTTATTTCGTTAAAAATAAACGAAATATGATTTAGTTTGAATGATTAAATGTCATTAGGCAAGTTAAACAATCAGGTGCACACTTTAATGTGCCGCCACCTCCGGACTCGGTTTAAAGAATGCACAAATGTGTTTAATCGTTTATGTCAGATATGTACTAAGTAGCCTAAATACATTTGTTCCTGCTCAAGATTAGATTCAACTTTATTGTTATTGCACATATTGTAGGTACTGAGACAACGAAATGCAGTTTAGCTTCTAACCAGGTGCAACAAGCAGCGAAAAGTAATGTGCACAATACTACAGTAAACAATTAACACAGTAAATTATGTGGATTACACCACATTTATTTCGTTAAAAATAAACGAAATATGATTTTGTATGAATGATTAAATGTAGGGTGAATTGCCCTAATGTGGGACATTTTTGCATTTCAGACTTCGGGAATATATTGCGATATGAAGCCGATAGAATAAATCAAAATCCAGTAGGCTACCATTCAGAAATCCCCAGTAATATTAGACACTAATAATACAGTCAACTATTAACACTGTACATATTATTGTTTGCCCGTGGGATTAGGATGATCGGTAGTGAGACCCGTGCTGCATTTTCCTCCGGTCGGATGTGATATAAAAACAAAGAGATTATTTGTGTTGTTGTAAACTCACGTGGATTAAATTTAGTGCATTAATTTCAACTCGCGAACATATGTACATTAAATGATCGTGAGGATGATGATTGAAAATCGTTTGTTTGAGCCTGGATGCATTTCCTGATCTAAAAACATAGCGATGGTTTTGTACTTACGCCAACGTGAATTAAACATTATTTTGTTAAATAAAAACATGGAGATGTTTAGTAAGTGATTACATGTCTCTTATTTAGCACAGAATATGATCCTATCCGTGACATATGGATCTTAACAAATATCCGCTATATCAGATACCTGGAGATCAGCTGTTTATTTCACATGAGTTCCAGTGTGGCAGCTTTTTAATCACGGCTCCCCCTGGTGGATCCATGATCCATTGCAGCTGGTTTCATTATAATTAAATGTATTTATCAAGGGGGCGTTTCAAATCCTGCGGGGGGGTTTTCCTTTTCAGCAGGGGCCCACCCCGTGCCGATCACGGACCCGCACGGGTAGGCGTCTGAAATGGAGCGCTACATCTGTACATACCCACGTATCAATGTCCCCTTCAGCCAACGAGCTGAGCTCCCCACAAGCCCTACAGAGCTGGGATAGGTCATCTGTAAACAATAAGATAATGTAGTTTAATGGCAACATAGACACATTGAAGTATACCTGGTAGAGTTCTGTATACCTGAATTTGTCACTAGAGACATTGCCATGTGCATCCGCAACATGGCCACACCCATCGTGTCAACTGGATATGCAACAATATCCCCAGACAATATCTGCTCTGCAAGCTAAAAAGTGTCTGATAAGTATCATTTTGAGGACTTTTTAATAATGAGAAATAGCAACAGATAATCAAATGTTTACCTTGCACACAAACACCCCGCATGATGCCGAGTCCTGTTGCTTAGGGTGAGCAACGGTTGCGCATTCCCAGCTCCCTATTGCCAGACACTTTTTGCGGACCAATGCTCTACACACAAAACACACATTTATTACAGTTTGCCATTTTTAACATATGCCCAATTAAAATCATTTAATTCAAGATCACTTGAATGACCTTTTTGTTGCTCCCAAAAGATGATCCATGGTGTGTGAACACATGTATTTGTCTAATGCACACATCAAAGCTGACATTTCATTCACCTTGTTACGTCCTTGCATTTGTCGATCTGTGCTTCTGTGGCCACAAATGGCTCCAAGAACAGGGACCGCCTCTCCTTTAGGTACATGATCTATGGAAATGCAAATACTAATTATAACCAACCCCTACATCAGATAGTGTCATGGTTGCGTCTAGATCTGTTTACGTTGAAGATTACTTACAATCAGTGTCCGTGGTGGCAGACCGCTCCAACTGCCACATTGTGTTTGAAAAGGTCCAACTAAAACAAATATTATAATTTCAACAACTAATGTATACACTAACATAAGTATGTATTTGTGTGTATGGACATACAAACATATACCCAAAATACATAGGCCTACTTATGTACAAACAAAGAAATCATCCTACTATATAGTCCTACTCACCCTTCTCAAAGAACCTTTGTGGGTTCCCTCCCAGAGCGACATCATTAGATAGGAGTCTATGATTAGAGCGCCAGCTTTCCTTCCCACCATGGTTAAATATGAATTGACGATCTAAGAGTACAAAAATAACTTGTGATACAATCTAAATAAATATCAGTCCAATATTCTTTGTAATTTACCTCTCCCTCCAACCACTTCCTTGGGGCCAAGTCCATGAGGTTCTCCGTGTACACTTTATATGGCCCAAACTTGCACCAGAGCGTGTGTTGTCTCCTCCCTGTCCATATTTGTCTAATTACTGTAAATATAGCAATGGCAGTTATTTGTGAAATGCATCATTTGCAGTGTACTTTCTGTCTGTTTACTTACAACGTTCAGGATCTTTTGGTGCCATTTGGGCCTCGCAGTCCACGGATAGAGGTGCCACTTGTGGTGTTTGTGTGCTGTGGACCAGCCAGAGGAGAGGGATTGGACAACTTTTGTAGTTTGGCAGGGATCCTCTCCTCTGGCTGGAAATAATGTGTTAGATGGTCAATGTTGGTCTGCAACTTTGTGGTGTCCTTACCAACAATGGCCTTTTCCCCCTCTAGTTCCAGGATGCTGTAGGGTCCCAACCAGTCATCCTCCAGCTTTCCCCCTTTCCTTTGCTCCTGTCTCACGTTCCTCCGCAACACCTGATCCCCTACTTGGAAGTTGTCCTCCTGGCCCTTTTTGACTTTACTTTTGCGGACGTTGTCCTGGCTTCTTTTCATATTGTGTTTCACCTCTGTGAATACAGCCTCCTGTTTCTTCAGGCCTTCATGGATCTCCTCCGTTTCGACCAGCCTGCTGACTTTCTCTTCTTTGACCTGCAACAAATGACAGTTAGAATTTTAGAAGGCAGATGATCCAAATTAAAACGTTTGAAAAGGATGACAACATCAGAACATCTTACCACGTACTCCTCTGGCACCTCTGAAGGATACCTAGCCTCCCTCCCAAACATCAGATCATATGGACTGTATTTTGGGGTCAGCTGTTTCTTTGTCCTTAGAGCAAACATGGTGGACTGGAGCACCTGGTCCCAGCGTTTGGGGTGACCAGCCACCATTTTTGTTCAACGTCCTTAACCCTTAGATGTACAGTCAGATAAGTGGTTCTCACTACATCAATATCATTTCTCCTCCTCTAGCACTCTATATATACACACACACACACACACACACACACACACACACACACACACACACACACACACACACACACACACACACACACACACGGACTGGAAAAGCTGAACTTTACAACTTTACTTTCACACATCCTTATCCCCTGAAATACACTCCTAAACTGAGTGACAAAGGGCAAAACAGACTTCTCCCCTCCCCCACACTCACTCTCAGTCAATCCCCAGGATGTATTGATGTTTTGTGAGTTAACTTGGCTTATTTGTTTGTGTATGTATTGGAGTTAAGTTTATCTGGTAAATGGTCTGTGACATGAGTATGTTTGTTTGATGTACTGATTTATTATTTGGAGTTAACAAAAATACAGACATTTGATGTTGAAAGTGAATTGATTTATTATTTTATTATTGATGACTACTTTTGCCGTTGCCTTTGTCAATATTTGGTGTTGAATTTCAACAGCAGTGTGAGACTATGTCCCTCCACATGCCAGCACTTTGAGTTTTGATGGAGAGACAAAGATTTGCATAGACTGGGAATTGTATATTTTCGGAAATTGTATAATTTTTTTAGTCCATTTTAGTTTCAGCCAATCACCACAGAGTGCCAACACAATGTCTGCAGGGAATGCCTTCAGCGATCCTTCAAAGCAGACGTGCACACCTGCCCGGCCTGCAGGTACGACCTGGGCAATAACTACTCCATGAACATCAACAAACCCCTGCAGGATATCCTTATTCAGTTTTTCCCAGGCTACAGCAGCTGGCGATGATCATTGGTTCTGCCTAGGAGGAAACGCCATGTAAACTGTAAGGGCGTTTTTCAGCAAAGGCAATAAAGAATCAATCTCTCTTAATATATTTTTTAATGATTTATAAAACTGCAAGTTTTGTGGACTTCAATGCTATCGTTTTTTTTTACCTTGGATCTGCCATGTACCCTTAGATGCATAAGTGGGGTCGTTATTCTTCAAAATCTCTGAAATTAAAAGTTTTTACACTTCCATATTCCAGGTATTCCTCATAAAACATGTTTGTGACTTGAGGCCATTTGAATTTTTTTAAATGTTTTTATACATTTTAAGAAATTGCAGTTTTTGTGTCACTACCCCAGTTTTTCATAAGCGGGGTCAAAAATGACCCCAAGCATTTCCTACAGAATCTCAAGGGTTTGCTTTGGGAACCTTTGATTCTTACCAACTGTGACTGTCAGGATACATTTTCTGTTTTGGGTATCACCTGTCAGTTGGAAACGTGCAACAGGGCATATGACTATGCACGGAGAAGTGGGCTAGTCGGGTTTGACTGCGTCCATGTCCAGTCCTTGACGTACAGCCCTCTGGCCACCAATCCACCTATTGTTCACGATGAAGGGATTCTCACAGACATGGTAGTG